CTGTGGTGGTGGCGGTGGTGGTGGTGGGGCTGTGATCTGCACATAGTATTAGATGGTGCACGTGGGTATGATAAAGCTGCAGCAGGCTGCAACCAGTTTGACCGAAGATAACTGCGAAGAATGAAGTGTCAGTTTATGATTGGTTGAATAAGAAAAAGAGGGCAGTATTATTATAAAGTTATAAATTACCCACATCGAATCTCAATCTGAATGTGACCAAAAACAGAAGCAGAGAACAAGTTTGCTTTTAATTCTCAGGCCCAAATNTTATTTATTTCGGTAAAAATGAAACACAGTCTAAGACTTTAATGTAACAACGCTGGATGAAAGAGTAACATACATGCATGTGAAAATGATTACAGAGCAGGTGGCAGTAGGCCCAAAACCACCCTAACTCAAATGGAACTGTGGTGGTGGCGGTGGTGGTGGTGGGGCTGTGATCTGCACATAGTATTAGATGGTGCACGTGGGTATGATAAAGCTGCAGCAGGCTGCAACCAGTTTGACCGAAGATAACTGCGAAGAATGAAGTGTCAGTTTATGATTGGTTGAATAAGAAAAAGAGGGCAGTATTATTATAAAGTTATAAATTACCCACATCGAATCTCAATCTGAATGTGACCAAAAACAGAAGCAGAGAACAAGTTTGCTTTTAATTCTCAGGCCCAAATGACATTTTGACCCCCCAATTTATCGTAAAAGAATCTTTTCCCTTAGATTATCCTGAATGTAATAACTTTTGTTTTTAACGAGTGAATGATAATTTCCCACCCAAGGTTTGCCAAAATCATTCCACCCATAAACGTTATTAAATATATTTTTTTACCCCTATCTTGGTTTATATTAATTTCAGGGTTAATAAATTAAAATCAGTTATTGAAAAGGTTTAAACAAAAAATATTCATATGAAAAAAACAGATTAACTCTTTATCAAAAAAAAAAAAAAAAAAAAAATATTTTTGAAACATACCAATTACTGAATCAAAAATTAAATTTTCAAAAACACTATAGATATGATCTTTTATCATATAAATATATTAATTATGACGATAAGAAAGTTCATAAATCACTAGTCCAAGTAAAGAATGAAGAAGAAGGCTTTTATAATTACAACAAAGGGAAAGGAAAATTGTTTGGTATGCTAGGAAGTATCCCCATCAATAATTACCTAGGCGAAAACGATATTATAGATATAGATAAAATTTCAAATATAAAATAGTTTGATTGGAGAATTCTCAATTTTTGTCTTAGAAATAACATCGATATTCAATTTTTAAATTTTAAAAAAAATAATAATTGGTCGTAATCGTGCCCAACCGAGTGCGAATCAGCTAGAATCAATGGTGTGATTATGACCAACTATTCTTTTTCAATGTTTTTTTTTTTTTTTCAAATTTTCATAATTTTTTTTTTTTTTTTTGGATTTTTCTTCTTTTTTCAAATTTTTTCGAAATTATATTTTTATATAATTTCATAAAATATATACAATTTAATAAAATATTGTTTTGTAGTTTTATAAATACTTAATTGACAGATATTATTATAATTTTTAAAAATAATACATACAATGTTAATTTTTTTTAGAAACACACATATTTTAATAGTGAAACTTCCATTATAATTATAGAAATTGAAGATGGGGGTTTAAATGACTAATTTCCAAGTTGGTGAAGGTAATTTTATGTGTTTATAATTTAAGGGTATAAGAAACATTAACCCTGTAATATATACTGTGTGAACCGAAAAGAATGCCATTTTGCTGTTAAAACTAGCGTCTAAATTTAACGATGAGTGGGGAAATGGTTTTTTCAAAGTTTATGGGTAATTACAACAAACGTTGGGTGGGAAAATATTATTCACTTTATCTTTAAATTTTGAATTCAGGGTGTTAAAATTTTGCTGTTTAAAAGACAATCTTGTCAATTCACTTCACAAATATGATATTACAGGGATAGATAATTTAATATAAACCACCACTGGGATGGCCTGATGGTAAAAAGATAAAATAAAGTTCTATAAGCTCTAGAGTTTGAGTTCGTCTAATAAGGGTAGTTATTGAGGAGCTTCTCTAGTCGTCAACTTTAGGGTCTCGACGAGTTAGTTAAGATGCATGCAAGTTAGTCTGAATTCCTTCGATCATTAACAAAAAAAAAAGATAATCTAATATAACATTAAGAATCGATAATATTACCCTCTTAAGGTTAAATTTTAATGCCTAAATTTGAAAAATAGCTAGGAACAGGGGAAAAAGTGTTTTTTTCCTAATAGATGGGGTTGAAATTGTCACTGTGCCTTAACTCTCTCTCTCTCTCTCTCATCACCTACTTTTTTTCTACTGGGACCAATATTTTCTCCAAAAGCTGCAGATGTGAACAGTGTTACTTTCCGACTTATCTGTGATCTTTAAACACGCGTTGCACGTGCACATGTGTCTGCCTTTCTTAAATTTTGTGGGTTATTACTTATTACGTTCTGCTCTGTCTTCTGTCTGTACATTTGCTGAAAAGTTGATCAATTAAAAATAAATTTAAATTATTCTTTTGAATATTTTTTTTTTTTAGATTATGAGTAAATTAAACACAATCTAATATCTATACAAAATTCAAACATTTATTTTATTTACATGTATTTTTTAGGATTATTAGAAATTTCTTAAAACACACAAAAGTTAAACGTCCTAAAAATATATTTAAAAAAAATTATCAAAAGATATTTCGTGTTTTTTTGTTTATAACAATAATATATAGTCCTCACACTTGGGTAGTTCAAATTGTAAGACGAGTATTAGGATGTGTGGTTAAGACATACGGTTTCATATTCGAATATCCTTAAGTCTTAAGATTTAAGCAGTGGAGGTGGATTGCTACACTATTCTCCTTTGATGATTAATTGTAAGTTGACTCGAACACCTTGGTTACAAAAGAAAAAAAACTCTTGAGGATTAGTCGTAAGTTGACTCTGACACCTTAATTAAAAAAAAAAAAAAATTTAGTCGTATTAAATTATTCATCATAGAGTAAAAATAAATAAATAAATAAACCCAATGTGTTCTTAAAGATTATAAGATTCAGTGGGCTTCAATTTTGAACTCGATTTACAAAGCGAGATCAAGAAACTTTTGAATTATAAGAAAAATTAAGTACGTTTGATTTTTCTTTTTACCAAGTAATATTGAGTAATTTAAAAATTAGACTTAACAAATGTTAATTACGCCAGCATGTTAACAGTTAAGTGTACATTTGGGTTATGCCATATATAAATGATGTGTGGTCAGTACCAGGAGCGTGGATTTATGTCACGTGTAATTTCATTTTAAGTTAATTTTATTTATAAATTTATTATCGTAATAATATATAAACGGATTTTTCACTCAAATTAGAGGATCTTTCTTTTTGACGTCTCACTCATATCTTGCGTAAACCACAATTGTACGCAGAAAAACATAGAAAGTAAGATAAAAATAGTAGACATAAGATTTGCGTCTGACATCCAAACCACTTTAAAAATAAAAATTATTAGCAGAATTCATACAATCTCTTACTTAGGTTTCTTCACGGATCTTACGTACTTTTTGTTGGTATAAATCACAACATCAACATTAACTAAAGTTATTCAATCAATACGTTATTTTGAGATGTCGACTTCGAAACTTTATTAATTATTTTAGTTGGATTCATTGGTTTGGACACATTATATGTATGGTTCATTTATGCATCTTTTACATGGTCGACTAATTTCTTAATTAAAAAGGAAAGATTAAGCACAAAAATCAATTAATTAATATGGAAAATATATGCATATGTAGTTTCAATTATATACATATACAATGAATTATTGTGTTAATTCACATGCAGGCATGGCCCCTAATCGAATTATTTTCATAATTTTAGTTCATTAATTTAATTTTCATAAATTTAGCCAAACAATGTCTAGATAAACAGGAGAAAGCTCGAAGGTAGGTTGTTTCCTTATACAATGCAGCCAAAACAAATTCCAATAATAATAATCATGTGGGTTTTGTCAAAATATATTTTATGAATTTTAAAATTCTTTCATATATACATGCATCAAATTAATTAAGTCTTTCTGAATTTAATAAAATTTATCAAAATTAAATCCTTCCCACTTACTTAATTAATTCAAAGTCATAGATATTTTTATGAAAAGCTTAAATGATTGAAATAGCAATCAATGGTTCAATTTAATTTGTAATATCAAACTTGTTGGCAATTTATAGACCATAATCCATGGTACCATATGTCTCCCATTACTTTTTAAAATTCAATTAAAATTAATTAGTTTTTTTTTTTTTTAAGAAAAAAAAAAAAAACTGTCTTATCAACTGGTACAAACACACATGTGAGCACCAATACGTTCAACAGCCAATTTCATAGCTGTGAGTTGACAAGACCTCCGAAAATGGAACCTACATTAAAGACACCACAATGAACAATCATCACCATTCTTATAACAATGTCCTTTTTTCATACTTCTCTTTTAATACTAATTCTGGTTCTAATTCAATATCTCCACCATTATTAATCGTTCACATCCCTCTTCACCATCATCATCATCATCATCCTTAGTTTCTTCAATTTCTCAGATAACTTGCAGAATTTTTAATCCAATCCAAACCAAATCTAATCTTTCATACATGTATGTGAGATTCTATGTTTCAAATAATAATATAATTACTTAAATTAATACCCAGAAAATTTCCACGAGGTAGCTCATGTATGAATGGGGGCTCTTTCTCAAGTGATATACAGGAGTTAATTATTCAACCTCTTTGCACCATTTTTTTCTGATATATAAGCTTCAGAGACAGCGAAGATAGAAACAGAAAATGAAGAAGAAATTCATGTAATTAAATCTGAAAAGAAGCATTTGATTCTGATTGTAATTTTCCGTGTACATAACAAATGCTCAAGGTGGAAAATTCATGCAGGAGAGGAAAGAAGAGTCTATAAATATTAGTAGAAGTAATAATAATCCATAACAATTAATAAGTTAATATTCTCGTTGGTATTTACATTTGTGAAGAAGTACAAAAACGAAGAAGAAAAGAAGTAATAGAGCTTAAAATTATATCTGCAAATTCACAGAAATAATAAATCGATGAATATTTCTTGCTTCTTCACTTGGAACTTTTAGTCATGCCAGCAGAGGAGCATGACCACACATGTTCTGATAATGTATAGCCTTCCTTTCTGTTGTTTAAGATACCCTCCGAGCCGCCTGCATGACACCTTCTTCTTCGAGTCTTTCATATTGTTTCTTCTCGTCTCCATTTCTGTGTAAATTAGAGGAAAAAAGAGAGAGTAGTTTGAACAGAGCTAGAGCTAGAAAGAAATAAGCCCGAAGTAGTGATACTGATTACTGAAAATGTTTGAAATGAGATAAAGAGAAGAGGGTGTTTATATAGTGAGAGAATGGTGGTGGTGGTGGTCCAAAGTGACGAGCTCAGGCCCTCTAAAACTCTACTGAGAGTGTGCCACGTCAGTGTCTTCACCAAAATTAATGAGGGTTTTTTTCATCGACCAAGAGAGTTGGTCGGCCATTGATGGAAAATGGTGGGAAAAAAAAAAAAGATAAAAATTAATACAAGGGGGTTAAGTTTAGGTATTTGGAAAGGACTACTGCTGGCCTGCCCATCCTGCCATGTTTTCTTGACGATGTTTATCCTATATTTCTTGTAGAAGCTCAGATGTTTCCTTGTCATTTCCTGTTTGACTGCATATTACAATTACCTTGATGCTTTTATTATTTACCAAACAATTGTACTATCACTTCGTGGGCAATTTATATTTTTATAAACCCTAATTTTCCAGTTTGCTGCTAAAATTCAATATATTTCTTTATTTTACACATGAATACTCCTGCGTCCTATTTGGGATTGTTGTTTTCTTTTACAAGTTAAAGATCACTTCTTTTATAATTTAACACTAATTTAATTAATTAATTCTTTAAACAAATATACTTACACATATATAGTATATTTTATTGACAGCTAATACCTTGTCCTTGAAAATTATAATAAGAATAAAAAAAATTTCGTAAAATTTAAAAAGCATGTCTAGTACAATTTAATCCGAATAAAGGTTATGAAAAAATAACTTATTAGAGCAGATGTTATGAAAAATGTGTTTGGTGTTTGATCATAAAAATTTAAAAGAGCTTTTTAATATTAACTTATCACAAAGGATTTTGATATATGAGATTAGATCAAGTCAAAATTTTAAAATATAATAAGGATATGTTTTATATTTCAATACTATAAGTCATAAAATAGATTATTTTAAATCTTATAAGCACTTTTGAAATGCAATTAATTAATCTAAACAAAATTTGAATCTACTGATGACTTTAGGTAAGCTAAATGTCTTAAAGGGCAGTTGATCACAACTAATTATTTCTACAACTTTTTTTTTGTTTGTAATGGTCGGAGATGTCCGAGCCACTTTTTTCGCATCTTAAGTAATCCTTTGTGATCTTAAAACTATCGACCGAGTAAGAGTTTTAATGACTATTCATATTAGTAACTAAAAAGAGACTTGAATTCAGAAACTCTTGAATATACTCAAGAGTCTATCTCGTTCTACAACTCTTTTTATAACGTCAGTATCTCTGAGTTCGTGCATGAAATTGATAGTGAAGAAAGAAAATGGAGAATTGGAATAAGCTAATGTTAGTACAGCTAATAACTTGAAATGTTAACAAGCACAAGTAGTCCGTTCCTCGATAGCATAAAACGAAGAAGGCAAAGGAGGAGACAATGAGGAACAGTTTTATAAGAAAGGCTCAAAACTCCAAAAATTTGCAAGTAGAATCTGAGTGACCTGTTTAAACCCAACAAAAACTGAAATGGGAAATGGGATTATCCACAGCGTAATCCCACATGTTTTGTCTTGTGCTTCACCCATTCCACTTTTCACGTCGGGAAACTCTCTGGGGCTTGCACCTGGACCAGACCCCATTCTTCATTCTTATTTCTTAACTTCACTTCTTGGACTCAAGTATATATTTGCAGTCGACTCTGGAGCTTATAATTATACTCAGAATTTGACAATTTCGGAGAAACACACATCCTTCGTCTACAGGGCGAAACTATAAATTATGATCTGTTAGACAATTTTCCAATGGGAAAATATTCCGATGCAAATATTGGAATAAAACACATCCCCTAACGAAATACAACATTTGTTAGGAGAGGTGCTTTATCTTTTTCCAACCAAAATATATTGTTAGAAGATAATATAACCTTCCAATAAACCCGTCTCATATATCTTTTTTGTTAGAAGATAATTAATGTTATCCAATTACAAATCTAAATTTTAAAAATATGTATGAAATATAAAAAAATCTTAGCCAAATCTAATGGAAGGATTTGAGTCTAAACCCATCTAGACTGGTTTTTCTATAAAATATTATTCCAGTTATGATCGATGGATCGATCAGTCATGTTAGGTAGGGTCTCAACTCAATCAGTAAACAATTTTTATACACAAAAAAGAAGAAGATAATGCTGAAGAGGGATTTTTAATTAAAAGGAGACAACGAACATTAATTTACAATTAAATTTAATTAACAAATAAAATGGGCGCCAGTTTTTGTCTCTTTGCACGTCATAGAAAATTACAGAACTGTACAGTACAAAGAAGACTGGTCGGCACGTGATAATCCCGTGAGGGACATGGTCCCCGTCCTTGCCTTTCCTAACCTAGATTTTTGTTAGTGTTTCTCCTTCTGTCGAGTTGAATTAATTAAATCCTTTAATTATTAATGGGATTTTTTTTTTTTTTTTTTTTTTTTTGAATGTGAATGAGGGAGTATCTTTGTCTTGGTTTATTCAAAAGATTACGGAAGTTCCTAAATTGTACGGTTCAACGAATACGGTTGCATAATGGGTTTGGTATTGGAATTAGATTTATATTAATTTAGTTCAGCATGAGATTGCACTAAATCTTTGATAGCTGGCATTCTGTGTATCTGGATGTTGAGGATACCTTAATTAAGTGTAATTAACAATTTGATCCCATATTTTTCTCTTCATTTCCACTCTAAATCTCCTTTTTTGTTCTTTTTGACGTTTTATCTTTTCTAACATTTATTTTATCAAAATATCATATGAGTAACTATCCAATGGTAGTCTGATAATAAAAGAGTAAAAAAAGGTTCTATAAACTTCTGAGTTCAAGTCCTCACAAACCCTAATAAGGGTGACAATTGAAAAGTTTATTTGATCGTCATTAACCTCAAAGTCTCAAAGTATTAATTGATGTGCCATTTTTACAGTAATTTTTAAATGAAAATGATAACAAAGAGTTGTATAAGTTTAATAAGGCTATCTTTTTTTTTTTTCATCATTTATTAAACACAAATTCACAATCCAACTTAAATCAAAATAAAGAGAGGAGGACCAATTTTTTTTTTTGGAAAGATATCGGTAGTTTAGGCTGAAAGCATGAAGGCTCATTTCAGAAGTTATAAAGCCCAATAAAGGCGCAACTGGGGAGGCCCAATATAAAACTAAACTTTTAGATCCACCAATTCTTCTAAGGCCTCTCAGAGTTTACATAATTATATATCAAGGATAGAAAATATAAAACATACGGGCATTGGGTGAACAAGATCAAACCTCATGGTGCAGCTTCATGGAGCAATTATCATTTCCTCTTTATTCATAGATTTTGCTTGAATCAAGTTTATATCATTTACCCATATTATAATTTTTGGGGTTGAATAGATTTTTGGGTCAAATCATAGCTTCTTATTAAAACAAATTGAATAATTTTATTGATTACCATATAAAAACTTTGGATTCTTTTCCTATCCTACCCAAATACATATTTGTTTCAGTATTCTCAAAATTCAATCTTATTTTATTCAACTAAAATTGTTTAGTTTTTTAACCCCTTATGTTTATTAATTTAACTAAACACCCTCAACAATAAAAGTTTATAAATTGACAAAAACACCCCCACTTACCCACCTATTCCCAGTAGCCGGCCACCACCGCTGGAAGCTAGCTGAAATCTACCAAAATGGCACATGACTAATTGGATCTGGTCGGTCGTGCGCTGATCTAGCCTTTTCCGGCTAGATATTCCTACGACTTCTATCCACCCTCTGACGATGGTGGTCGGCTGCTGGCATTTAATGGGTGAGTGGGGGTGTTTTTATTAATTTTCAAATCTTATTTTCATAATAGCAACCCAACTCAACCTTTTTAAAAATATACTCAAAATACTCTACCAAACACACCCAAATATTTTATTGGATAAGGTAATTGGTTGGCCACCCACTTGGTACAGCTCGAACTCAAGACCCTTGGTCTTTAACCTAGCACCTCTCACTCCCCTCACCATCCGGCCACAAGTGGGTAGTTAAAACAAATATTTTATATGTAAAAAATAAGATAAAAAGCAAGCAAAATATATCTCCTCATCTCCAATATGATAGTAAAATATAAGAATATATGCTAACAATTAAAAGGGAAGGGAGCAACCCCAAAGGGGTTGGCCTAACGGTTAAATAGGTTTAGTCTTGGTTTCGAATCTTGGGACCACTTACCACTTTATAACTTATCAGTCATTTGAGTTTGTAAGATATTCAATAAGCCCCGGAGATTATTTGAGGTGTGCACTAACTGGTCTTGTAGGATGTTTAATAGACATTGAAGATTAGTTGAAGTACACACAAACTGGTCCAAAAACCCTAGTTACCAAAAAAAAAAAAAAAAAAAAAGTGAATGGGGCACGTGGCTTATTTCTTCTGTAAGTGACCCGCCCGCCAGGAGATGACTTAATTAAAAAGTATTATATACCTTTTCAATATTATCAAAAACCTCAAGATTCTCTTATAAAAGTGAGGAGCTAGGCTTTGGTGGTTGGTTTTAGAATTAGAGTGGCAAATCATTCAAATTCAAAAATTTTTGTTCACCTTTTGCTGTATCAATATCAAGGTAGGGACGTAGGGTAACAACCACTGAGTGGCCTAACAATCAATCAGCACTCTTAAATGTATTAATTAAGAGGTTATAAGTTCGATCAATCTGGATTGTTAATAGAGTTGACCACTAATGAGATTTATCCGATTATCAACTTTAAGGTCTTAGAAGATTAATTGAGGGACATACAAACTGACTTAAATACTCCCGGTCAAAAGGGGGGTGGGGGTGGTATTGGGTGAGACCACGACAACTTTGCATTTATTTACACAATAATATCATTACATAGAGATGTGGAAATTTGAAAATATATATATTATTTTATTTTTGGCTTTTCCAAGTGTATGAATTTTACTTTTGGCTGTTCCAAGTGCATGAACACACAAAGAAACCCCCTTTGGATTATGCAATTTCTGATTTGATCATTAAACCCAATGTATTTGAAGAATTTGAACCTGGATAATAAGACAATGCCCTTCTGTCAGAAACTCCCAGAATGACATTTTGCCAAGTAGAACTATATTCTTGGAAATTTCAACCAATCTCTTCTCTCCTTTTTCCACACACTTGGCAATATTTTTATATATAATATAACAGAAATCCACATTGATGAAGACTTTATTATAAAAATAATATAAGATAAGATTGAATAAAGCGATGCAATAAAGAGATATGAGATGAGATGGCTGAATCAACAGCATGGGAAAGGCCATGGCTGGCCAGAGGATCAAATCAGTGTTCTCAAGCATATAGCCTTTCATGGGGGGATGAATTTAGCGAACAACTTCTGCTTACCCTCATGTGATTCCCATCAATTACCTACCCCACTTTCTCATTCTTAATATTCAGCTATATAAATCTATTTTCACCTCATCAAATTATTCAACCAAACTTTTACTTTATATTTCATTTCATTATCACCCTCTTGAAGAAACATGGATGATTCTGAATATGGCAATGAGGTTGAATCCAAAAAGTTGCCTTCTTCCAAGTACAAAGGAGTCGTTCCGCAACCCAATGGAAGATGGGGAGTGCAAATATACGAGAAGCATCGACGCGTATGGTTAGGTACTTTCACCGAAGAAGAAGAAGCCGCTAGGGTTTATGATATCGCAGCTCTGAGGTTCCGCGGCCACAATGCAATAACAAACTTCAACGTTTCTTTCGAGAACGACGAAGATTATTACATGGAAAAGCTTTTCTTGAGCTCGCATTCGAAGGCGGAGATCGTCGACATGTTGAGGAAGCATACGTACAAGGCCGAGCTCGAAGAGCGCAAGCAGAACTATGCATGTCATGGAATTAGCGGTAACGCGTTCAACCAAGAGCCGTTCGGGGAGAGCCGGGAGTTGTTGTTTGAGAAAGTGGTGACACCGAGCGATGTGGGGAAGCTGAACAGAATGGTGATACCGAAACAACAAGCTGAAAAGCACTTTCCATTGTACACAGAGATTGCTTCGAAGGGTGTGTTGATGAATTTTGAGGATAATTCAAAGAAAGTATGGAGATTGAGATATTGTTATTGGAGTAGTAGTCAGAGTTATGTGTTGACAAAAGGGTGGAGGAGATTTGTGAAGGAGAAAAACTTGAAGGCAGGAGATTTGGTGTGCTTTTGGAGATCCAATGTTGGGCCGAATCCAAGGCTTTTTATGGACAGTAAGCCCAGAAACGGGTCGGGTTCTGAAGATCAGATGGAGACCAAGGGCGAGGAACAGGAGGCGGTTGGACCAGTTGAAACAATGGGTGAGGTTAGGTTATTTGGTGTCAACATTTTAGATGAACCAAATAGAGATTACGTTGCAAATAATAGGTAATATTAGAAGTTAAATTACAAGGTGAGAAAAGAGACAGAATTTTGGATATACAAAGAGTGGCTTAAGTTTAGATATTTGTAACAGCACTCTTAATACTGTGTCAGAACCCAAAAAATCACCAAAACAGATTAACAGTGTTAATTTAAGAGTGCGAATCTAGAATTTATAAAACCATGGGTGAAAACTTGTCGATTCACCAAACCCTGAGTGGGTACATGTAGTTTACTCTAATTAAGATAAGATATGTAGAGAGGTCCCTCTGGTTATGGGTAGATTGGCTATGCGCCTATGCCCACTAAGCCTGCATTTACAAAGCCACTTTCTTGTGTGCCCACAATTGTCAAAGATTCCAATTAACAGTAGAACTTGTATTTCCTTTAACTTATATCATGTTCATATGCAGTGAGTAGTACAACTTGTACAACATTATCTCTAAAGATTTCAACCTATCCTTCAATTTAGCATTAATTTGTCATTGGATTCTATTGTTAAATAAATCTCACAATTTACCATTTTTCTTAAAAAATTAATCAATAACAATGTGGATTTGACTACAAAATTGCTTTCATTGAGTAGAATGGGAACAACCCACTAGGGATTAATTTTGAATCGATAAAAGATCGTTATTCTTAAATGAGTCAATAAACCACTTTTTCCCACACAGATAATGGCTTAACAACATTTTCTCACCCATAAACTTTTAAAATATCACTTTACTATTAAAATTTATATTTCGTTTCCAATTCCGGCATTGTTGCGACCTCACACCGTTACCATTCTCTTCCCCGATCATCACTCACAAAAACCCCTCAAACCCTACTCTCGTCGACCCTACCAATCGCTAGCAATCGAGCGATTAGGGTTTATACAGCCATTCCTCCAAAGTTAAATTCTGGTCAATTCCAACCATTAAAATCCAACATTTCACCAACAAAAAGACTCATCGGTTTCTATTCTTCAAAAGCCTCAACAGCTTGAATTGAGTTTGCTCTCTGTTTGTCGTCGGAATATAAATTTAGATAGTAAAGTGGTATTTTAAAAATTTGTGGACAAAAAAGTATCATTAAGTCATTATTTATGTGGGAAAAAGTTGTTAACTATTTTTAAATTTATTAAAAATTATAGGATTCGATGAAAACTCTGGTTTTTAGTTAATTGCTATCGAGGGTTGTGTTGGGGATGAAAATTGAAATGTTAGATTGTGTTTGAATGATATTACTCAAAAAATTGTTTAATGTTTAATTTAATTTCTAGGGATTTGGATGTTGTTGTTAGAAATCAAATTTACAGCTGTAATTTGGTTAGTACAACAAGTAAGGGAGAGTTGAATGTTTGTTGTCTGTTTTAACAGAGATTTGTTGTCAGCTTTATTACATTGTGTTGAGAGTTCTCTTCTCTTTGAGTTTTTCAATAAAATACACTCTTTATTGGTTTGCCTAAACTTTTCTTAATTAATTAATTAATTATTAAAATGACCCCTCATAAATTAAGTACCTGCTCTTTAAGTCCAAACCTCTAGATATTCCTGAAAAAGGAATATCAAATTCTCTTATTTATTATTACATTTTTTTGATTCCGATCTCATATATTGGGAAATGTTAACATGTACTATTGACATTTAATATTAGTACATTAAGACTCCGCCTTATTTATTGCTAAAATTTATATAAAAAATATATTATACATCATGAATTATCAAGATATATAACAATTTATCTCCTTATATTAGTATTTGGTTAATGTGTAATTATATTTAATTTAAGAATAATGTTGTATATAAAAAGTTTGGATTTCATATTTGTGTCCTAATCATGTGGCAATTGATTTACCAAGTTGCTATACAGTTTTGGGATCCCAATATCTTAGGTATAATATTATTGTTAATTGAGTAAACGAAATGTTCCCACCCGAGGTTCAACGAAATGACAAGTTGATACTCTTGGTTTCGCTTATTCTAAATTTATACCCTTAAAGTAGCACCATTACCTACAGTTGGGTTCTGATACAGGTGTAGAGGCTGCAATTGTCGAACTGCACTTAAAGTAACACCTTTCATCTTCTTGGTTTTCGGCTCCAAGCACTGCCGTAACCTCTTAGGCCAAATCCCAGCCGATTCTCATACCGAAAATCAACCTTGTCTGCATCTTTTGACTCCCTTTCCTTTCCTCTTCAAAACCCATCCCTCCTTTGGACCCTCCCCACTCATCGTTTGCTAAGCTGTCGATGACCTACACTTTTCGCTGTGAGACAGTCGTAGTTTTGCAACCCTCTCATCCGCTTTTCATTGGGTTTTGGTGTTTTCTTGATGGAGTTTGTTGTTTTTGAAGTGTTGTTTGCGATTGTGTTGCTGTTTTGTTTATTTTTTATCGTCGGCAACCCTCCTAGATGAGAATCTAGAATAAATATAATTAGGGGTATAATTTTGGGATTGTGGTAAACCTTGGGTGGGAACATGTCGTTTGCTCTTGTTAATTAAATTGATTAAGAGTAGAATAAGTTAGTTTGACAAAAATACCAATTATGGGATTGTGCTATGAGAGGAAGAGAGAGGTACGAAACGCGCGTAGGAAGTGAAAGTGTGAAAGAGGTGGGGGGTTGGGTGGCTATCCCAATGTCCAGTGATTAGTCATTTTCAATAGACGTAGCCTTGCAATTGCCTTTGCGTAGCATCTTTACCTCTTTCTGTGCTACAGCTACTCCCCCTCTCTACCCTTTCTTTTTATCTATTCTTTTCAATTTAATTTTTCCTTTTTTAAACCAACTCTCCATTAATGTCTTTCAAGCATATATCAAATCATCCTCTTCTTTCCCTAACATTTATGTAAACAACGATTTGACACTACACACCAATCTGTCTTTAATCTACTAATTGAACCCAACCTCATTTCACTCTGCCCATTTGGTTAACAAATCATTTCACTTTCTCATCAAAACCCCATAAATCATCACTCAATGCCACACTGGGTTTCAAGTTTTTAACTTCACTTATGTATGATAATACGCAGCTTATCTAACGTTAATCTATGCAAATATATCGCAAGTTCACAACAAAGGTTCATTAATGGTGAAATGAAGACGATTATTAGTAAAAGATGAAAAACAAAACAAACACTAGTACTAGTATGTAGATTCATGGATCATTTTGTTACATAAAACCCTTGCCCAAAAGCTGATTCAAAATGCATTACTCGTCATAATATTTCATAGTTATAGCTATGGCTAACTACAGCAAATCCTTTGGGATACAGAATCCGTTTCCATGGCCACTGTGAACCCCAATCTGCTCAATGAGCTTCATCAGTTTAACATGTTTATTACACCAAGCTTCCATTAACTTTGCCTCTTTGCTCTCGGCATCTCTCTGCAAACTAGTCAACTGTTCTCTATATTCACTCTCAAGTCTACCCAGAAACGCCATTTCTTCTTCTCTTAAAGATCTAATCTTTGCCTCAACTTCCTCCATTTTTTCTCTTCTCTTCCTCGCTTTCTCTGACTCCAGTTGCTGCTCCAATCTACTTAGTCTCCATGTCGCTTCCTTCTTGTGTTGCAGCCAGCTTTGTTTACCCTCTTCAAGCTCCTTACAGCACTGTATCAAAGTGCCCACTTGTTGACCTGGCATGAACCGGGTCATGTCAACCGGATCAAGAGCAGGAGGTTCAGACGGCGAGAGAGATAAACTCACAGAAGGAGAAGCTGTGGTTGTGGAAGAAGTTGAAGATGACAAAGATGAACAAGTATTATGATTATTCATCCATAAAGGAAGCACATTTGCGGAAGAAGTTGAAGGACCCGACCCAAGTGAAAGAACCGGTTCAGGATCCGGCAATGACATATTAGGCATAATAATACTAGTAGGGCTCAGATTATTCAAAGACTGCAATGCAAAAAGCTTCGGTTGAACGTACTTCTCCGCAAAAGTCTCTAAAATATGATCGTACCTCCCCTGAGCAACCTTTTCCGGCGAAGAAACCGACGCCGAAGTGACTTGAATAACATTCCCTTCTTGATCCGAATACTCTCTTCTTTGCTTATGCAATTGTTTCAACTGTTTCTCCTTAAAAACTTCCCACCACTTGCCGAGTCTTTTCGCGGTTCTTCCGGGGACTTCACTGGCAATCTTTTTCCACTTGTTGCCGTACTTGGCCTGTAAAGAAATGACTAAAGATTGTTCTTCCGGGGTTAAAGAACCCTTTTTGATGCCGGGTTTGAGGTAGTTTTTCCAGCGTTCGAGACAGGACTTGGGGTCTCGATTGAGAGGTTTTGGCATGCGCTGAGAAATGAGGTTCCATTCTTTAGGGCCATATTGCTTCACGTATGCTCTCAAGATGGCGTCTTCTTCTGGTTGCCAACGTTGCCTCTCCTTCATTTCATCATTATCATTTCCTTGTGGGTTTTTGGGATCCTTACTGATCCATCTTTTCTGTTGATAAATCGTTTTATTATATCATTGAGATAAAATAAAGGCTCGAGTGTGTGAGAACTGTGAGAGAGATTTCTCGAACGGATTTGCTGTGGGCTATAGCTAGCTTTAAAGTTTTGATGAGGGGCAAGCTACAGGCTACAGCTAGAAGAGATCCCTTCCCCCACTTGAGGTCATTTCATTACACGGATGGGAATGGGATATGGTTACACCACGCGCTTCATTTCACGTGTGAGCTACAGACGTTCACTGAAATAAAAAAGAACCTTTATTAATAATTTAATTTGTCATAAATATTAACCCCCAACAACATCAAACCCTAACACCGCAACAATTAAAGGTGGTTATCTAATCTACTATTGAATGTTTAACAAAATTTGGTGGGCATATTCAGCAACCATTATTGGGTACTAAGGAATGGTCAATGGTGAAACTAAAACGGTGGTGCGATAAGACTTAGAGCATTGAATGAGAGATTTCTTTGGTAATTTTTTTTTTTTGGTTTGAGTTTATCAGGTAAGAGAAAGAGTGAGAAAAAGAGAAGCGTGAAAAGGGTATTTCAATTTGATTTTGATTTTGATTGTATGGTCATTGTTTGGTGTGGAAGATGGCAGAGAGAGCAGAGAGAAAGAGGAAGAAGGTGAGGTTAGTTGCATTGGTGGTGGGGGCAGAAATGAGTCAGAATTGTGGGTGGACATGACTGGACACTGTGTCAAAACACCAAATATTATAAACAAAAAAAAAAAAAAAAAAATGCAGCAAAATTGTACTACTTTCTCAGACTAAGACGATGCTAGCAGAGCTGAGCTAGTTTGGCTTGTGATAATCTGAAATTTATAAATAGAAAGATGCCAATCTGCCATAAAAACGTATTCAGCCTGCTATTAAAGGTAAGTCTGCATTACTGCATACAATGTGTGCACTTTTGTCAAGAGATATTTTTAATTTAAATAAATAAAACCAAATGGGTTTTTTATTTATTTTTTTATTAATTTTCTCTTTTGTATAAGGATACAGAGTGTACAATGATTAGGAATTTGTTTGCCTCGATTACTGGGTTTTCTAAGCAAGTTTCCATTTAGCTTCTTGTTTCACTCTTGGGGGAAAAAACAAACAGATGGAAGGGGAAATATTCAACTTCTTCCTTGTTGGGATTTGAGAAGATCTTGTTTGTGTTTTTTCACTTTTATTTATATATTTCCATGTGTCCTCAACCTCTCTCTTTTTTTTTTTTTTTTTTTTTTTTTTTTTTTTAAAAGGCGTTTAGAAGCGAGTGCATTGTATGCTACCCATTGTGAGCGTGGTATGAAAAAGAAAGAAACACGTAAGGACAGAAGACTAATCAACGCAATTAGGATCTGCTGGAAGAGGAGAGGACGATTGTTTTTGTATGTGGTTTGGTTGGGCCTCTCTCAGCCCAATTACATTCTCACACTGTTTTGTCATGAGTCGGACGCAATTACCTAAAAGATTTTCTGAGTCAACTCCATAAGACGTTTATGTTCTCACATTTTTGGTAAAAAGAAGGTTTTCATGCTACCTTGTAGTAAGTCGGACGGTTCATATTCTCGACTTTCAGATAAAAAAGAAGATTTTCAGACTACCTTGCCGTGAATTGGACGGTTGCTAACTACCAAAAGATTAGCCTATTAAAGATGCTACCCTACCCATAATTTAAACCCAAATCCAATCCATAGTTTCATACGTGGCTACTGGGAAAATCATAAAGCAAATTGCACATTGGTTAGGCAGAGGGAGATCAATGGATTGTTGATTTTCGTTAATAATGTGGGCATGTATCAATGCAAAACATACTAAAATTCATTGAGAGTTTAGTGGTTGTGGAAAGTTTGTCATAATGAGTCCATCATCAATTGAGAAGGAGCTACTGGAATATACATGCCGTGACTGTTATAAACAAGCACTGAAACTGAACCATTCCTGTGATTTACTGCAACAATCCTCAGCTCAATTATCAATGAATGGGTGCCCCAACTCTCAGAGACACCCACTTCAATTCCACCACTTCTACTCTTGCACACTCAAACTGCATGTTCGTGTTCAAATGGCTGAGACTTTTATTTAATTTCTTACCCCATCAACACCAAGAAGAAAGACCCGGAGTGGGATTCTCATCTTCTTCGTCATAATACCTTTTCTGATCAAACTCGTCAGCAACGTGGATGTTTCCCCCTTTCCGTTTGTTTAAGCAAAGTCTTAATCTTACTTCAAATCTCCCAAGGGCTCCCCATCTTTTAACATTCCAAAAATTTACAAGCTGTTCATGTACATGTACTGCCTACTGTTTTTACCCAGTAAAACGAAAGCGACATGTATGTTTTCGTAAGTTTTCCACGCTCTCTCTCTCACACACACACACACACACCAACACACACCACCACACCACATATATATATTATTATATATATTATATATTATATTATAGAGATATATATGAGTTTATTTTAGTATTTTGGATAATATTTTTGAAAAAGTGAGACTTTGGTGATTATTACAAGATAGAATTTAAAAACTAACAAAAACATCATTTAGGTTTGTTAATTTATTAAACACTCATGTAATAAAATATTAAAAATTAACAAAAACACCCCCACCCACCTTGGCAATCGGCCACCACTGTAGGAGGGTGGCCAGAGTCGCCATATTGGCGCAAGACTGGTTGGATCGATCGTGCGTCAATATGACCTTTTCCAATCAGATTCACCGTGGATCTGGTCGAAAAAAGCTAGATCTACGGCTAGATCCAGCCATTGACGGCCACAACTGGCTGCTTTTAGTCATCAATGACAATAAAATCTTGGCCGTCGTTGATGACTAGCTACGGTCAAAGATCTGATCGTTAACGGCTAGATCTTTGGCCGTAGATTTGGCTTTTTCCGACCATATCCATGGTGGATCTGACAAGAAAATGCTAGATCGACACACTATCGGCCAGATCCAACTAGTAGTGCGCTATTATACCAGATTTTGACCACCTTTCAACGGTGCTAGCCGAAATCTAGCAAATGTGGGTGGTAGGGGTGTTTTTATCAATTTATAAACTTTTTTTTGGGGGGTGTTTAGTTAAATGAATAAACTTAGGGGGTTAAAAAAATTGAATAAAATATAATAGTATTTTCAAAATAGGGAAATAAATGTGTATTTTGGAAATGATAGGAATATGATAGGGCTAAAATAGGGAAACAAACGCACTCATATTTTTCTATGACATTGGTGTTTGGGTTAGCTTACCCGCACCACAATTAATTTCATGGGATCTAAAACTACCGGTCTAGTAATAGCTTAAGTATCTATCCTTATTAGTAAGTGAAGAGGGACTCGAACTTAAGACCTCTTAAGTAATAATCCAAGAGTCCCTATAAAACCACTTGATCACCTAGAAGTAGTTAATATATTTATTAAGTAATACACTGTTTTATTTTATTTTTTCTGGAAATTAGAAGATAAGTGATATATGACAACATTTTCTAAATTAAGTATTCAATTATATCTTTTTTAATTGATTTTATAATTATAATTTTACATTTGGAAGTTTATTTATTCAGTAATGCTAGACTTACCGACCCAATTATCGATTTGACATACTAACTCATGTGAATTGAGTCAAATTTTGAGATTTGAGGTAGTTGGATAGGTGGGTCGGTATGTCAAAATCGATAGTTGGGTTGGTAAGTCTAGCATTACTGTTATTTGTTTAGGATTTTAGTTAATTATGAAGATCTATTTTAATTATGTTTAGTTTTTTATTTTATTTTATAATAATAGTAGGATTTTCTTATTTCATTATGATTTCTTATTGGTGTAGTAATAGGATTAATTTAGTATAAATATGTTTGTTATACTATAAACAAACATTAATAAGTTATTAATAAAATTTTTTAATGGTTCATTTCCGATGAATCCTGTCAAGTAAAACATGAACGTAGATATAAATTAAACTATTTCTCTATTACATT